ATATTTAATGAGAGTTACAACTTTAGTGATTAAGAACTTGTTTAAAATTTAAAATTTTTGTGTACTTGTGATAAATAGGATAATGCAATTTGCAAACCCTATTAGCATAGGGGAGATTAAGAGAGTTTTGGAATGCTGAATTTAATTATAAAATGTGAATGAATCTTTTAATCATATTTCTAGAGTTGAGTATAATTATATTAAACTGCAAAGACTTGTTAATTTGTAAACTATAAAGACCCAACTAAAAATTCAAAATAAAACTGCTCCCACCCACCCACACCACATATTTTTGAAGATTTCCAATTTTCTTATTTATTTTATTACAAAAGAATTAAAGATAAATACAACAAAAAGAATATTTCATCATCATTGTAAAAAACTATACTAGTTAATACATTGAGAGCTGACTCTGGAAAGTTTCAGAACTTTTGCAGAGTTTATAAATCTATTTTACTTTCTAACAACCTTTTTATATTTTCTAATGTTTGCTTTTGAATGTGGGTTGGTGGAATGACATTTGGTTATGAAGTTTCAAAGAGAAAATAAAAAGCTATAGCTAGAAAATATATTATCGGAAAGACTAAAAACAATGTTTTCTGATTTTTTCAAAATTTTAATTTTTTTTTGATGTTTATTTATCATTTGAAATGAAAACTTGGAATATTAGAAGCAAATGAAGCCTCAATGTTTACTTTCAACTGTATTTTTACTGTGCATTTGATTTTAGATTTTTAAAATTAAAATAATTTTAGTTTAAAAAGTTAGACTTTCTTTAGAATTTTTTCTAAAATTCTGTTGTTAAATTTTTTTCGTTTGTCTAATATCATAAAAGTTATTACTTTTTAAAATATGAAGCCCTTAGACTTAAGTTTTTGTTTTTGTTTTTTTAAATATATTTTGAAAGCATTACTGAAATTTAATTTTAATTTTAAAATTTAAAATAATTAAATAAGTAATAAACAAATAGTATTATAAAGATAAAAGTGGATTTTTGTCCTTACTTTAAAATTTAAAATAATTAAAATAACTTATAAACAAATTGTATTATAAAGATAAAAGTGTTTTTTTTCCTTATTTTAATTTTTAAAATGATTAAAATAAATTATAAACAAATAATATTCTAAAGATAAAAGTGGATTTTTATCCTTATTTTAAAATTTAAAATATTTTTTTAAATAAAAAATACTATTATAAAGATAAAAGTGGAGTGTTTCCTCTTTAAAAAAACTATAATAAACACACTTTACATTTATTTAATTAGAAAAAAGAGATTTTGGCAACTGAAAATAATGCAAAAATTTCACATATTTTAAAAGTATCCTTAAATTAATAAAGAAATGGAATATAGATGGATCTATCTATATTCATTGGATAAACCTCAAAAGTATAAGATATTCACAAATATAAGGTTCCTACCTTTTGGCACAAAAAAATGTAATAAGACTTAGCTACCACCACTATTTTTTATTGAGTTTGAATATCTTCTCCTTCATATGTTTGAATTGTAATATTATATATGCAAGTTATTTTTAAATTGTCATATTATACATGCAAGTTGGTGCAATAAATTACACATCATTCAAATATTATAGCTTTCCTCGAAAGAGCTATAAGCCATAGTAGTAAGAACAAGAAAGCATATCTTAAACTTTTGAGAAACAACAGAACTTGGTTTGTTACCTAAACTTTGACGACGTAGAAAATTTTAGAAAACAAGAGAATTATAAAGAAGAAGAATGTGGTAGATGATATAATATGAATATATTTGCAAAATTATAAACATAAAATCACCTTAATTTACATAACAAGTTGAATACTAAAAGTTTTTCTTAAAAAGAAAAATTGAAAAATCTTCATATGGTAAACAAGACATTCAAACTATTTATACCCTTCAAAACTATCACTTATCATCTGTAGTACTTTAATAAGTTTTATTAAATAAAAATATAAATAAATAAGAGAGTTTGAAAATACGAAGACAAAATTCAAGAAAACTTGTATTGTTAAAATAATCTTCTACAATCATTCCTAAAATTATGGTTAAGAAAAAAATGTAGTGAAAGAAAATTAATATAATTTGAAAACGCAATTGTTTGAAGAATAAAGAGAGAGAGATTATTCTAAAGGATTAAAATTTCATTTGAAATTTAATGGGGATTAAATTTATATTTTAACTTTTTAAAATTTGTAGTAGTTATAAATATATATAAAAAAAAATCAAGAGTTAGACTTTAAATTACAAAAAAAAGTTAAATTTTTTTTTACTGTTTAGAGTTGTAAAATGACCATTTTCGTTTGAATTAAGACCAAATTAATTTTGATCCAATTTTATGTGAAAATCCCAAGGAGCCATACTGATACGAAGCTTATCGACCATCAATCCGAGCGTTGGAGGATGTTAACCTCTAACATCATACCAATGATATCAATCTTCTAAACAGTTACTTACAAGAAGGTTTTAATACTGCATAACTTAAAATGAACATGCCCTAGATGAACACTTAATATGAGAAAATAGAAGAAGTGTAGAACCGTATTATACTATGAAGGATCTTCTGACATCTGACCTTTCTTACAACTGTCCAAAACAAAAGATTATATTTCCTTGTAATCCATATACTTACCTAATATATGAACTTCTATGCTAGGAACACGAACAACCAACTCAGCCGGATCCTCCAAAGTCGACTGGGTCAAACAGGTGTAGCCCATTTAAATTAGAGTAAACAAATAGTAACCCAAGATAGACAATGTTCACGATGACCCTCAAATGTTTCAATTTAGTAGACACAACAAAACCACCACGGAGATATCGAAGAACTTCACCTATAACAATGTGGCCATAAAGAAGGGAATCAAATTGAAACATCATTTCACATACTTTTACTTTTCTGCCAAGATAATTATTTCATTATCAGATTCTCCGTGATTGTGAGAAGTTCAAAGGAGAAAGTGGGAGGGGGATTACCATATAGAAGTAGCACCCCTTATGTCCATATAAATACATATTTTTAAAAAGAAAGACATCTCGTAATAACAGTTAACAAACAACAGACGCTATCATGAACACTCAACATGATATACAATTATAGAATACAAAGTAAATAAAAAATGAAGAAGAGAAAAAGAAACATACCAAGATAGTTAGAAATTTCAGCAAAGATGTGAATGCAATGGAGTGGATTGAAAACTAAGAATAAATAACCAAACATCAAGGAGAAAATCTACGAGCAAGAAAAAGCACAATAAAGGGTAAAAAATAGTAATTTCCTATTTATAAATGACATAGAATAAGAAAACCTAAATATTGAAAAAAAAAACCTCAAAATTCAAAAATATTGAAGACAAATAAATAAGGGCCACATGGCTTCACAATAGAGACATTTCTCACACTGAAAAATCATCATACAACATTTTTCTAAGTCGTAGTCATCACATCTCGATTTTGGAGAAAAACATTAAATACATTCAATTCTAGAATTTCTAGCGTCATATATCTAATAATATTTGGAAGTGTGAAAGGACACAAAAAGTCAAAAAATGTTGACCATGACACCCCTTATCAGAATAAAAGATATTAATCAATAAAAGTAGGTCTTTTTAAAGTTAAAATGTAAACCATTAAACCTAGAAAGGTTTGTCGGTACTCGAATGAAACACAAATGAAAATTGGGAACCCTTACTGGTCTAATCCTTAGGAGGTCCAAAGCCCAACTAGTTTTGATCCAGCCTGATATTGAGTCCCTCATGTGCCTTATCAATAAGAGACTATGGACAGTCGGCTCTAAGTATCGAAGGATGTTGACATCACCTTCATGACATCAGACTAATGGTGTCACTCTTTTATATCAATTATACACAAGAAATTTTTAGCATCAAGAAATTTTTAGCATTGTGAAAGATAATTGATCAAAGTAACTATAAAGAGTATACCTATCTGATTGTACTTTGAAGGTTATGCCATTTCTTACTGCTATAAAAAATAGAGGTTCTTAAAAACCCTAAATCCATTATAAAAATTTAGTGAAGATGTCACACCAAAGTACACACTATTCTAATCTTAAATATCTTTCACTTTTGACCTTAGTGTGAGAGTGTTTAAAGTTCCAATGTCGAACCATATATAACACCAAGACACATAATCAATGATCAGAGTTTGCTATGAAATCCTTATTCATCGCTTCATTTGTGAGTTCAATAGATTTTTCCCATACAAGAGACTATTAATGTCACTTGAATTAAACTTTTCTTTGAGAAAATATAATAACTAATAATTAAAAATAATACCTTGTTTTTTAAATTTAATTAATTAATGTTGCCAAAACATAAAACATTGTAAAACAAAAATTTAAAAAGCCAAAACACCATTTTTAATTTTACATGAAAAATCTCAGTAAAATTACAATATTCAAAAAAATAATCTTAGACTTTGATTTTACTACAATACTAGTGAATGCTAATTAATTTTTGTATAGAAAAAGAGAAATTTTCATAATATTTTTTTGTCAAGAAAATTTCATTTTTATAAAAAAAAAAATGTTGCGGATTCAAAACCACTCTCTACCCCCAATGTTTTTATACAACATCCAACTGAATTTTCATAAAAAGACAAATTTCATAATTCTATAGGAAAAAAAATGTTTGTCAAAGGCGAAGAGTTTACATACATGCCATTCCATTCAGTTATGGCATGATTAAGAAAGTAATTAATCAAAAACCATTCAATTTGTGTGACTCGTACCATACAAGCTCATCGAAATATTCTATATATAAACTAATTTTCACATGTTAACCAATATTGACTTTGATTCTGAGAGTAAAATTAAATTATTAAATATACCACCTACCAAAATTCACAACTCTTTTGGTCTATAAATACATGCATACCACCCTTCTAGCTTATTCATCAAATAAGCAATTAATCATATCAAGACAACTTAATTATCCATTGATATTGTTCTCAATTCTCATTCTCATAGTCTTATTTAATCACAAAAATGTGTTTTGGAAAAAAACAATTCACTGTAAATGTCACCAACGAGGAAGTTGTGGCTGCTGCACTTCCAATGCAAGAACATTGGCTGCCACTATCAAACCTTGATTTGATTCTTCCACCTGTTGATGTTGGTGTGTTCTTTTGTTACAATAATATTGGCACACACCGTAACGTTGTAGGCTGTTTGAAACATTCCTTAGCTGAGGCTCTTGTTTCTTATTATGCCTTTGCTGGTGAAGTTGTTGCTAACTCCATGGGTGAACCTGAGATTCTTTGCAATAATAGAGGAGTGGATTTTGTCGAAGCTTTCGCCGATGTCGAGTTACAATCTCTTGATTTGTATAATCCAGATGAATCCGTTGAAGGGAAGCTTGTTCCAATTAAGAAATTCGGTGTCCTTGCTATTCAGGTAAACTATTAGTTAAGATTATTCAATAAATCTAAAAAGTAAAATTTATTTAATAATAAAAATCAGAGAAAAATAAAATTTTATATTTTTTTCTGTTCTCATCGGTGACATATCACATCTATCATATTGGTATTGGTATTGTCGATCTTTGTTTTAATTATTGTTTTTTAACTATGCAGGCTACTTGGATGAAATGCGGCGGGTTAGTAGTCGCGTGCACATTTGATCATCGCATAGCGGACGCCTATTCCGCAAACATGTTCCTTGTATCGTGGGCCGAGATAGCTCGACCCCACGATAACAAGTCTTTGATCCCAACGACGCAACCTTGTTTTCGTCGGTCTCTTTTGACCCCGCGTCGTCCACCTTCAATCCATCCTTCACTCTATGACATGTATGTTCCCGTCTCCGAACTACCTCCTCCACCCGAACCCGAGTTTGAATCCGAACTAACGGACCCAATAATAAGTCGGATATACTACGTAACAAGTGAAGAGCTCAACAACATGCAATCACTAGCCAACTCAAAGAATAATAGTAACACTAAGCGCTCAAAACTTGAGTCCTTTTCTGCTTTCCTATGGAAGATGGTTGCTGAAGCAGCTTCAACTGATAATAAAAACATTGTTGCAAAAATGGGACTGGTTGTTGATGGAAGAAAAAGACTAAGCAATGGTGACAAAAACAAGGAAGAGATCATGAGTTCATATTTCGGGAACGTGCTTTCAATTCCCTACGGTGGTAGATCAGCAGAAGAGCTAGTTGAAAAGCCGTTAAGTTGGGTGACAAACCAAGTTCATGACTTTTTGGAGGCGGCGGTGACGGAGGAGCATTTCCTAGGACTAATTGATTGGGTGGAAGAGCACCGACCGGTTCCGGGGTTGGCAAGGATTTATTGTGGTGGTACCGGCGGAGAAGAAGGACCGACATTTGTGGTGTCTTCCGGGCAACGGTTTCCGGAGTCGAAGATAGACTTTGGATGGGGGAAGCCAGTGTTTGGATCTTATCATTTTCCTTGGGGTGGTAGTGCAGGATATGTTATGCCAATGCCTAGTCCTAAAAGGAATGGTGACTGGTTGATCTACATGCATTTTCCTAAGGGACATTTGCAATTCATGGAAGATCATGCTCCTCATTTCTTTAGACCAGTCTCTTGGGATTACCTTCTCAATTGAAGTTTCATTTCTACTTGATTCATTTGTTTGTTCATTCTATTCTTTTTTTTTTATGCTCATGAGGTTATTATTTAGTAGGAATCTAAAATTTGCATCTTGTTATATCTTGTTTTGATATTGAAATGAATGTTAATGTACTATTACTTGTTAAGTTTTTTTCAAGTAGTCGAAAAAATAGGTGTCGTGAGTTCAAACTTGTGTCCCTGCACCTAATGTCACTTTTGTTAAATCAAAGTTGTTTGTATCTTCATTTTTCTAATTATTTAAAATTTTATGATAAACTTAGATCCTTTACTTTTAATGTAGAACCCACTAATGGTAAAATTTAAAATCAAAAGGATTCAAACACACAAGAAATATATGATACATAAGATAGAATAGAAGAATGACAAGCACATTAACCAGTCTCAAGTAATAATAATCTACTAATTAAAAAGAGTAAACAAACCACAATACCACACACACGCACACGAGCGCGCGCATGCACACACACACATAAAAAGAGAGAGAGAGAGAGAGATTCTATGATCCACTATCAATCTAGATTCTAAATCAATATATTACAAATGAATCACAAAAAATTACCTCAACAAGTTCACATGAACGCTTCTTAATCTCTGTTGTAATTAACCTCAATCATGGAGATAATTTGAATCAATCTTTATTTAACGAGAATTAATATTTCTCATTGGTCGCTTTTCTCATTCCACACTTGTAACTTGGGTGATTCAACCACACCTTGATTACAAGATTATTTTTCCGCACAATGATTTGAGAAGAAAAGAAATATATGAAAGTGAATTGATGAAGAAAAATAATTAGGATTTTGGGAGAAAGGGGAAGAAGATGAATCAAGTTCTGCAGAGTTTCTCTTTACGTTCATTCAGACTAGATTTCTCTTATTAAACTTACAATGATAGGGTACATTCCTATTTATAGATGAGATTACTTACACAATAAGTAATTCTCAAAGTAACTAACTAATATAAACTTCAACAAGCTGTATTCGACTTTCTGTCAAATGCAATTAATACATACTTTGTTCGACTCTGTTAAACGTACACTACTTCGACTTTGTCAAGCACACACTTATGCTTGGCACAAATAATTACATATTTAACATGTCACATAATTTATTGTGTCTAAGCTATTTACACTCATTATAGTTCTCAGGCTCTTGAATAACTCGACCTACATAGCCTTCCTCATGATGTTTGCAATCTGATTCTCAGTTCTGCTATGTTCTAAGTTCAGCTTCCCATCTGCTACTTGCTCTCGAAGATAATGGAACCTCATCTCAATGTGTTTGCTTCTTCCATGTGTTATCGGGTTCTTGGCCAAGTTGATAGCAGACATATTGTCGATCTTCATGACCATTGCTTCATAGTCTTCTCCTGAAATCTGCTCGATCAAGTTTACCATCCATGTTGCTTGATATGCACAAAAGGAGGCAGTTATGTACTCAACCCTACATGATGACATCGCTACTACTAGTTCTTTTCTTAAGCTCCAAGAAATTGGTGTACCACCTAACATAAACACATACCTAGATATGGATTTTCTATCCTTAGCGTCACTACATTAACTCGATTTGGTGTATCCCACTAGTTTGAATTATTTTCCTTCATCTTCTGCAGAAAACAAAATGCCATAATTGAGAGTTCCTTTAAGATACCTTAGTATCCTCTTTGTGGCGACAAGGTGTTCGCTGTGTTTTCTGGCGAACAACCTCTGGTTAACCAATTTCTTCAGAAAGTTGGGTTACTTGCAGGACCAACCATACAAGTCCTGGGATACATGTGCATTTGGTTCTGTCGAAATACTCTTAGACTTTTGGTGACTAATTTGCGGTTTGTTTTATCAATATTGTCAAAGTATTAAGGACTTTGATTTTGCAAGTAACGAAGTTTGGACTTAAAGATGAAATAAGGTTAAAAGTTTAAACAAGAACAAAGAAATGTCGAAAGGCTAAAAACTTGCAAAAAAGTAAATGAAATTTAAAATGACATGGACTTGAAGAATAAACAAGTAATTTAAAATGACTTTGAAATATAACTGGTGTTTAAACGTACATTGTTCCAAATACTAGACTCATTTTCTCTCACACTGGGTACTTAGAGCTTTTACAGGAATTTTGTACAAATTTTCACACACACATTCTAACCACAAACTATCCTATTTATACATAAACAAAATAACTGCTTAGAACGGAAAAACTATAACTAAACGACAAGTGTCAGCCTGCATGTAAATTTCTTCTCTGAAACCTCCATGTGTCCAACTGCCAAAGGTTACAACCTTTGAATTTGAATCTCTTCCTTGGTGACGAAACCTTGTAACTCCTCAAAACTGTCGAAACCCTTTTAAAGGAGAAAAACTCTTCAGCACTTGCCAAACCTTATCTTTTATTAACAAACTTCTTCTGTCGAAGCCCTCAGTCACAAACTCTCCAAACTATTCTGCCAGAACATTATATCTATTTCTGTCGAAACAATGAAACTTTAAAACCTTGTCAGCAATTCTTGGATTCTCCTCCTGATGCTATCCTTCGACAAAGATGACCTTAAAGCCTGAATTTTAATCTTGTCGAAATTATGGGTTTACAAATTGCCCCCCAGCAAAGATATTTTCGACTATCAAAGGAGAAATGTCTTTTGCTGTCGAAGTGACCTTTGTAATTTAGTTTGTTCTTATTTTTATTTCGTGCAGTGTTGGTTTATACTTTTTTAAGTACTTCCCATTTATTTTCATCACTCTTCTATCTTTTTCTATTTCTTCGACTTCGTATGCACCATTGGAAAAAACTCTTAAAATTTTGAAAGGTCCTTCCCACTTAGGGGACCATTTTCCCATCACTCTGTCTTTCTTCTCCATGGGCAAGATCACTTTCCAGACTAAATCATTTACTACAAAGGCTTTGAATTTTACTTTTTTGTTATAAAACTTTTCAACTCTCTCTTTCTGCCTTCTTATTAATTCTAAAGCACGCAACCTTTCTTCGTCTAAATCAACCAATTCATCCATCATCATACTCCAATAGATTTCAGATGGAATCTCATGATGTCTTTGAATTCGTATTGACTGTAAACAGATTTCGACAGGCAATACTGCATCATGTCCATAGGTTAATTTAAATGGGGTGGAGTTAGTTGCTTCCTTAGGAGAGGTTCGACAAGCCCAAAGGATTTGATCCAGGGTCTTATGCCAATTTCTGGGTTTTTTACCCACATGTTTCTTTATCAGGTTTATCACCACTTTGTTGGCTGCTTCGACCTGGCCATTTGCTTGGGCATAATAAGGTGTCGAAGTCAACAACTTAAAACCTGTCTCTCTTGCAAATGCTTGCATATTTCTGCCAGTAAACACAGATCCTTGATCAGTGGTTATAGTCTCTGGTATTCCAAATCTATACACTATGTGTTTCTGGATGAAATCTATGACTGCTTCCTGATCTACATTTGTCAAAGGTATGGCTTCAATCCATTTAGTGACATAGTCTACTCCTACTAAAATGTACTTCTGCCCTTTTGAAGAAGCTGGTCGAATCTCACCAATCAAATCTAAAGCCCAACCTCTGAATGGCCAAGGCTTTATAATAGAATGTAACTCACTTGCTGGCACATGAGGTATGCCTGCATGGATTTGACATTCCTGACAACCCTTTGCGAATTCGACACAATCTTTCAACATGGTTGGCCAATACATTCCTTGTCGAAATAATAGCCATTTCATTTTATGTCCTGCTTGGTGGGCACCACATGCACCACTGTGTACATTCGACAAAGCTATGTATGCTTCAGTCTCTCCAAGGCATTTTAGTAGAACTCCTTCTGCAGTCTTTTTAAACAGTTCATTTCCAAAGAGCACATAACTTAAGGCTCTGTACTTTATCTTCCTTTCGACTGTTTGATTTGGATTTTGCAAATAATCTTTAATGGGTTTTCTCCAATCTCCATCCTCTAGATTACCCACATTGAAAATCTCAAAGTTTTCTTGATCACCATATCCCAATCTTATTGTGTCCCAATCAGATGGGGACAGCTTAGTAGATAAAACTTTTCCTCTCACTTCGACAAACTTCAACAGATTTTCTTTCGACACTTTATACCCTGAAGCCAGCTGGGCCAAGTCATTTGCTTCCTGATTTTCTAATCTGGGGATGTGTCTAAAAACTACACTGTCGAATCTCTTGAGGAGTCTGTTGGCTATCACAAAGTACATGATCAAATTTTCTTTGACACATTTGTACTCTTTCGTCAGTTGTTTTATCACCAATTCAGAGTCACCCATTATTTCGACCTCTGTTGCCCCCAGTTCCAACAAGATTTCAAGTCCAACAATTAAGGCTTCATATTCTGCCTCATTGTTTGAACAGAATTCTTCTATTTTGTACTTGAACTCTGTTGGAACTTTATTGGGAGAAATAATTAACACCCCAACACCTGTTCCATTTTTATGACTGGAACCATCAAAATATAACCTCCAAGGCTCTTTTTCGACATAATTTGTCTCCTCTCCAAGTATGGAGTGGTCAGCTATAAAGTCAGCAACTACTTGCCCTTTAACAGCTTTTAGAGGCATATATTTTAAAGAATATTCAGTTAAGGCTAAAGCCCATTTTCCAATTCGACTATGTAAAATAGACTTAGACAACATATGCTTTATTACGTCGAAATGAGAAGATATATGTACATCAACGGGTTTTATATAATGCTTTAATTTCATACAAGAGAAATATACACATAAACATAATTTCTCTATCATGCTATACCTAGTTTCAGCATCATTCAAGACCCTGCTGAGATAGTAAATGGCTCTTTCGACGCCATGTTCATCTTCTTGACAAAGCATACTTCCTAATGTTCTGTCAGATGCTGATATGTAGAGCCTCATGCTTCTTTTTCGGCAAGGAGATATTAGGACTGGGGGATTTGCCAAATACTCCTTGATCTTGTCGAAAGCAGCTTGTTGCTCTTGCCCCCAAGTGAAACCCTCTTTCT